ATTGCAAATAAAATAAAATGAGAGAAGATTTGTGTGAAGAAAATTCAATAGTAAAAACGGTAAGGTGTCGAGAATCCCTTATGTTTCGTTCACCAATTTAAGTTTTGATTCATAAAATAAAAGTATCGAATAAATTAAATCCTTATGTTGATTCTGAAAATATTATTATTACAAATTATCCAAAATCGACAATATATTAATTTGACAATATTGCAGTAAAAGATAACTCACAAAATAATTCAAATAACAAAACGGTGCATTACAGAACTACATAAAAAAAGCATGACTAAACTTATATAAAAGTTGGCACATAATATTTTGAAAAATAAATAAATAATAGATGAGATTTAATTCATTGAATATTAAACATTACAGCACAAGAAATCAAAACCCGAATTGGATCACTAACAAAAATTCATCTCTAACTTCACCAAAAGAACTCTAGCCTAGCTTGCAAACATTCTCACAAGTTCTAAAGAGAAAATATGAGAATGACAACAAGGCGCCTGAAAACTGAATATGAAAAAACTCTACTTAAGCCAACCCCTCTATTTATAATGTTTAGGAGATGCCTGACAAATAAGGAAGCAAATCTACAAAAATGGAAAATTACAAAGAAATGGAAACAAAATAAAATTATAACCAATTTGGAAAAATCAAATATTTGTTGATAAGAAAAATCTGAGCTGATTATTCTGTGATTAGGAGGCTGGGTATTTGGAGCATATTTTTTGTGCTAAATCCGGGAGAAGAAAAGGAGTTGCAAATAATGTACTGTGAATGCCACGTGTCGCGCGCAGACTGGGTGAAAAGAATTGAATTGCCGCGCTTCGCGCGCTCAGAGGAAGAAGGCGCTGGCGGTTGGGGACAGTTGGGACCCGCGATGGAGAGGTGGCACACGCGGAGAGGAGGAAAGCTAGTCCGCATGGACAACAAGTGCGCACGGAGAAGGCTGGCAGGAACTGCAGCTTTTGTGCGTGACCCACGCAGAACTTGGCTCGGCTTGGTGGCTCAATCGACTGACGCAACTCTCGCTCTCTAATTGGCTTGTGTGGCTCGACTTGGTGGCTTCAATTGGCTGAAAATATGACTTCCATGGCTTCTTTTTGTGTAGCTTTTCACACTGTTTTTTATCTGTAAATAATTAAGCAAAAACTAGACAAATTCCAATTAAAATATTTTGAATAAAAATAATAGAATTGTTTAATTAAAACTTAAATATTTTAATATTATATAAATCAAAAGCAGTATTCAGGGAGCATTTTCATGCACTTATCACATAGCCCTCATTTGTATGAATATAAAGTAATAGAGTATATTTACTTACCTTTCACTTGAATTAATAAGGGTAGAAACTTGTAGTAGGACTAGGGCTAAGACCTACTTTCTTTTGACTTTAAGGTAGATGCTTGTAATTGGATCAGAACTTCTTTTTTTTTTTAATTAATGAATGTAGACAATCGCAGTAGAAATAGAACGTTTGTGCTGATAACATGTTATGAAAACTAAGAAAATAGGAAACTAAGAAGAAAAACTTTAGAGAGAGAAACTAGAGAGAGTTTCATTAATCTTGTGAAGGTATACAAAATGAAAAGTCTTAGAACTCTGTTTATAAGAAAATTTTTGGCACCATTCACAGTTACTATTTATACAATACTTACTCTTTACAGTTACTATTTATACAGTAAGATTATGACATGAACAGTAACTTTGACTGACTTACATAGTAATTTTAACTTAGGTGAATAATTACTGTTCATAACAAGTACAATTATTTTCAGAATATATAATATGTTGTGTTTTTATATTTATACCATGTTATAAAAAAATCACACCTTTTATAGTTTAGATTATATCACATTTATTCTTTCAGTTTTTAAATTCATGTTAAATTCTTATCCGTTTTAGATCATGGTTGATTTTGACTATAAAAAAAAATTCTCTCCTTCATATTTCTATTTTTCTTTTTTTTTTTCTTCTTAAGATTGTTTAGATATTTTCTGGTCAAAATTGATTATTGACTTAAACAAGATAAGAATTGAATATAAATTCAAAATAGAGCAGTATAAAAATGTGATATAGATTAAAATATAAATTCTTTTTTTATATTTTAAAATACAAACTAGCGAAAATGAAAATAAAAACCTATAATGTTTTGTACATATCTATATATTATTTTCATAGCAAAATGTAGTACTATATGAATAAAAAACATATCTATTGAAAAAAGAAAAAAAAATAAAAAAACAAAGACAAAAACGTTCGAGAATAAAGGATACAGATTAAACAAGGCAAACTCTTTCCACCCACTCTTTTCCACTTGTCAAGTGTCTAACTCTCTCTCTTTTTTTTTTTACTTTTTTTATTAATTATTTTTCTTGTTTTACTTTTTATGATTTATTATTTTCTTTTTTCTTTCCAATTTTTGTCATTTTTTTACCAAAAACTCCTCTACAGTTCAGTTTCTACAGCATGTTTTTTAAGGGTGTTTTTGCAGCGTTTTTTTTTTTTCATTTTTTGTGGCCATTTTTTACAGGCATGTTTAGAAAAATTTTTGCAGCGTTTTTTTTTTTCATTTTTTGTGGCCATTTTTTACAGGCATGTTTAGAAAAATATAAAGATCGTGCATGCAAAATTTTAAAATATTTTAACATCATTTTTATTTTATTTTATTTTTCAACGACAAAAAAGAGATCATAAAAAAATAGAATATTCATCAAAAAATGGTGTTGCTTGTTACATTAATTTTTAGAAGTTCATTTCGCCGATTCGAGTTTAGAATTAGAGTTTTGCTACAATAAAAAGCTCTCAGAAACAGTCACATCTAACTTTTTTACTACAGTAAAAAGTTCTCATATAAAGTCACATATTAACTCGAATTAGCGAACTAAACGAGTAAAATACTTTTTTCGTAGCTTTGATCCTATTAAAGTCTCGTTCATTTCACCAATTCGAGTTTTCAATTCTAATTTTACTACAATTAAAAGCTCTCACAAAAAGTCATATCTAACTTTTCTGCTACAATGAAAATTTCTCACATAAAATCACATCTAATCTCAAATTAAAAACTCGAATTTACAAACTGAACAATGTCTAAATAATTTCTTTCAAATATATACTTAATTATATTTTTCATTTGACTAAAAGCGCCTCTACAGTTTAATTATCTTTCGATGTATTTTTTTTCTCGCTTGCTCATACTAAATTTTTTTTTTCAAACGTGTCTATATGTAATTATTTTTTTAATCTAATTCTTATTAATCAAAGATGTGAAAGTATACTCCCAATTTTATCCTTACCATTTCATCGTTCTTTCGTTCTTGTTTTTTCCCTGTAATCCATGTTTCATTCCTTTTTCTTCATATAATTTTATATTTTAGAAGTGTTTATTAAAGTAATTTTTTTATCTAATTAACTTTTTGTCGTGAAATTTTATTTTTAAAAATGTCCTGACAATATTTTTCTTACAACATTCTAAAACTGCAAAACATTCTTTTGTCAAACTAGTATATATATAAAGAGAGATTACCATCATTCAATTTGCATTTTGCACGTGATTTGATGACTGTAATGTTGTAAATCGCAGTGGCCCATTATTGTGTGCTATGTTTTGTGTATTTCTATTCTTGTTGTGTTTACTTACAACATTGCTCTATTGATTTCTTAAGCATAGCGTTGTTTTTTTTTTTTTTTTAAATTTAAGTTCTTTTATTGCAGTATTTTTTTTTTATAAAAATTTAAATTTAACATTTTTAGTATAATATTTTTTCTAACATAAAAAGTTTGAGTTGGGATTTAAATTAGGTAAAAATACATATATAATATTATTTAGACTTTTTTCAAAGGTCATTTGGACTAATCTAGATATTATTTGAACTAAATATATATATATATATATGCATGTTTATTGTTTGGCACTTTTGGTAATAATCCACAAAATATGAGCTCTTCTGGGAGTCATGTCCACATGCACAGGATTTTTCACTTTTCATCCAAAGTTCAGCCAATGCAAAGATGCGAAGGAAAATAACCTTTTATCCTAAACCATTTATTTGCCACGTCAAAAGGCCTTCTATGTATGCACACGCAACCACGAAAAGGAACTCCTGAGCCCACTCTCACCTCCAAAATCTTTTCTTTATAGGGCACACTGCTATTCATCATTATTATTGGTAATACAGTTATTATTTATCATCATTAGTAATAGGGATACTGTAATCGGAGAACGCTCAATTAAATATCTTTTTTAATTAAATAAGACTAAAAGATATTAATTAATAATAAAGAGTAAACAATTTTTCTTAGTGATACATTATTGAACGTGATGCTAATGTATCGCAATTATCATTCATTATTACTGGTGAAACATCTCCTTATGCATATTTAGATGACAGTCTTAAAATATAGTGCCACAGACATGTTATAATACAGCATTCTTTTTATTAAGCAAAGCCAAACTTGAAAATTAACGGTCAGATTTTTCTGACACTTCTAATAGCATTTTATTCTGTTAGACCCCATCTATATGGAAAAGAATGCGCGTTTGGTTTATGGATTCAGAACTATTTTTAATTTACGTGTATTTTTTGTGAAAAAAAAATATTATAGCGAACTACAAATTATGGTCCGAATCATGAATGGGGTCAGAAAAACCTTGTAGTCATTGTTTTGAGCAAATAAGGATCTTAGTTATGGACCTATGAAATTCACAAATAATCAAAGATCTAATGGATCCACCTCCAAAAACTTCTTAGCTAAACTGGAACATATATGTTCCACTTCAGCATTCTGCTGTTCTCTTCTTAAGAATCATAAAATAACGTTTAAAGAAAATTATTAGTGGTAGGATAATGTAAGTTAGAACTATAGATGAAATTTTTAGGCCCCATTTAACTCATGTAATTGAACCATGATTTTGATTTCATTACAGTATTTATCTCATAAAATTTATTCCCATAATTTTCCTGCCAATGAATCAAAATCAATGATTTTAACGCGTGAATAAAGGGGATCCTTAGAAGTCTTGGAAAGATTTAACAAGAAATAGAAGATACCAATTGTTATTTGGATACTGCATACATTATATAATGAGCTCATCAGAGTTTCAAAAAGGCTTCCACATCAACTCCTAACCAAATCAAATGGGCATGACAAAGATATGAAAACTAAAGAGCCAGGGTTTTGATAGCCACTTGAAACCCATCTTATCAAAAAACATATTAAAAAAAAAAAAGCCATCTAAGTCCTGCTACTACTCATAACTGACCAGTACTTCCAAATTTGAATATCCAAACATAATAAGCAAATAGTGCAAAATGTTTCCTGACCATCCATGGCTGCAAACAGAATCTCACAGACAGCGCTTAAGGAACGGACAATCTAGAGAAGCCTGGTAAAGCCATAGCAATCCGTTACATGGCAACAGGCATGCCCAGTAAGAAGAGATCTTCATGGAAGCTCGAAGCAGGAGAACTTCTAGCAGATTTTTGGTCAGTTTTTTCTGTTTCCTCGTCGGAAATCTCATCCAAGCAGCAATCAAAACTGCAAAAGGCTTTCTCACCTCTGCACGGAATTAAGGAAATTACAGCCTGATCAGTGAATATGACTAGGATTAAGATGGACTCAAGTGAAAATTGTTAATGGATGATAAGGACAAACCTGTACATATAAATGTCTTTATCTTCTACCAACTTTCTCTTGCAAGAGTAACAAAATGTCAAAACTTCATCAGAGTGAACTGGGCCTAAATCCTCCGAATTAGCGGCCACTTGAGGTGATTTGATCCCCAATTCTTCCTTCTTACCAAAATTTTCCGTCTCATTTGCGCAACATTCTAAAACGCAGTCGCCAAAAATATGAATTGTTTTAGGGTTTGGACCATGGGAAATTATACAGGTATAGTCCTCAGAAAGTTCCATCTCTCTTTTAGAAAGAGAACCCACATATCCCTGGCTGGGCCCAATAGGTATCGGAACAGTACTCGGTTTAATACTCAAAGAATTTTCTACTTCAAAAGCGGTGCCAATCACCAAGGATGAACTCATTCTAGTTTTAGCTTCCGAACAGAAGTTTTCAGACCTCAAGTTGTGAGTATAGGAAAAGCTGACAAGTGAAGAAGGCACAGTTGAATCCGAGAAACACAAAGGAGTGTTTTTATACGGTTCAGATTCTAATGGTACTTCCTTACCATCAATGACAACATTTTTGGCACCCAATTGGGATTTAAGACACTTGGTTTGAGAAAGCCGGGAAGCTATGTAGTTTGTAGGTAAAGATTTGGATTTCAAGGAAGAATCAAGCGAATCATGGTAATCTTTAAAGGAATTAGTGGTATTAGTTTTAACTTGTGATCCGAAAATTATGTTCTGCTTTGGGATATCAAGAACTCCACCAGTTGTATCATCAACAAGTGAGTTGACAATGCCAAGGCCTACTTTACTGTAATGCCACTCCTTTTGAAATCCATTTTGGGACAACGATGATGATCGAGCGTATCTACAATTCGCGGGATTTTTTAAGTTCGAAAAAACTCCAATGTCAAGAGGAGAAGTGGGGCTTCTAATTGAATCGGAATCTGATGAACCTTTACCAAACCCTACAAAGAAACCAGGAATACTGAAAAGTGAGCCGCTTATATGCCTCAGGCCCAACGTATCAGATGGGATTTCGGACTCTGGATCAGAATCAGCCATTAGATTATCATGCATACTCCTTCCTCATCTGACCTTTTCTGTATAAGTCAGCGCAAGCTAACCTCAGTCCTCTTAGTATGAAAGCAAACTGTTCCTTACTGCAAATTACTAATCTAACAACCAGCACATCAATAAAGACCAAAAATTTAAACAATGAGCACGGAAAGAATGAGAAAATCCAAGTGAGAGCCAAGCCAAGCGGAAAATTCAAAAACTGCGAAAAAAGAAGTGATGAGAATCTAAATAGATTGAGGACCAAAGGGAAAACGGCAAATAAAAAGCTAGACAAATTTTAACAAAATACACATATGGAAGCCAATTGTATATATAAACAAGGGACAAGTTGTAAAAGCAATAGACTTTTCAACACAGATACAAAAGTAACAAAAATCTTTCAAAGAGCCAAATTAGTAACAGTGAAGTAAGATCTGATATAATCAAATATAACAATTAACTGTAACATAACACGAGGATAAGGCAATCAGAAGTCAGAAAGATTATCTTACAGGTAAAGATAAAAACTTCCTAAATGAACACGAATAAACTGAAAAAAGAAAACCCAGTAGAGCCATTTAAGGAAATATAGAACCGAAATCAGTAATATGATAGTTTCATCAATGTCAATTCTATCAGATATGATATGCATGAAAAGGAAAAACACTTGATCATTTGATTAATTAATCCAAACAAATCTGATAGATCCTCTGAACTTGCATGCGGAAAATAAATAAAAAAGGGGAAGAACAGCTAGTACAGGATCATATATATATTGCATCAAATGAGTACACTAAAAAAGTAATCTTTTCCAGAAGATTAACGCTCATTCATGCATAAAAAATAGAACCAAAAACATAAAATCGCTCCCCATCTAATTTTGAAGCTCCCAAAACCCAATATCGCATCAAATGAATTTAAAAAAAAAAATCATAATTAAGAAAAAAAATAAAATAAAGAAAGCCCACCTGGGTTCTTCTTCGAGAGCCTTCAAATGCATCGAAGAAATTATTTATATGTAAAAAAAAATGAAGCCTAATAAGACTCCCCTTCTGTTCTCTTCTCCGCTTTTTTTCAATTTATTTAAAAATTTTAAATAATCAATCTTCTGAAACGAGAAATGCACATCATCATAATTAAGAAAAAAAATAAAATAAAGAAAGCCCACCTGGGTTCTTCTTCGAGAGCCTTCAAATGCATCGAAGAAATTATTTATATGTAAAAAAAAATGAAGCCTAATAAGACTCCCCTTCTGTTCTCTTCTCCGCTTTTTTTCAATTTATTTAAAAATTTTAAATAATCAATCTTCTGAAACGAGAAATGCACATCACTCATCAAAATTATAGAAAGGAGACACTGAGGCTTCTGATACACTTCTCCCTCACACTCTCTCTCCTAATTATTAGCAAAGCCCATACGTATTCGTACTGTAGAAAGAGTATATTTATACGTATATTCTGAGTTCTAAGAGAAGATAGAGACAAAAAGACAATGTCTAACGTGTTATGCTTCAGACCAAAAAACAACAGTTGCACTGCCATTATTGGACGGTCCAGTTTCGTAAAGTACCACTGACTTTTGGTGGGCCCACCTCGTAAATAAACCACTCCACAGCCATTGGCTTATAAGAGGGATCTTCACGTGATTCCTTGGATTTTTGGACTAAAGAATGGTCTGCCGTATATATACCTTAGATTTTGTTCTCCTTTTCTTTTTTCCTTTTTTTTTTTTGACCCTTTTGAATGAATCTGCACTAAACGACAAAAGGTGAGCATTGTCTACACCCCCAGCGGCGATGCTCTACGGCTATTTTGGCTTGAGCTAGTTTTTTTTTTTTTTTTTTTTCCTTTTTTCCTTTTCTTTTTTTGCTACAAAAGTTAGATTAGTCACTTTTTGTTTGGTTATATTTAATGGAGAATTCTGCCGTAGAGAAAACAAACACGTAATTTTACTGTTGGAATAAATAATTTACGTGTCAGAATAATATTTTTTGAATGAGATTTTCATGAATTTAATGGAGATTTATGCTGCAGAGAAGATAAACACATTTTTTGTGCATAAATTTTATCTTGGCGTGTTATTTTATCTTGATATGATTCTTATATGTTATTATTAGAAAAACCTTGCATTTATTTGTATTATAGAAATTCCTAGTACTATTGATATACTCTGAAGTCTTTTGACTTTTCTATTCTCCATAAAATCAAAGTCAAAAGGCTATAATTTAATCTCTTCACTTAATAAGAAAATTTATGGTTTCATCTCAATGTCGAGTTTCGAGACTTCGAGTTTTGAGGGAAAAACTTTTTTTGTGGGAGGAAAAAAAATTAAACAAAACCACTTTTAATGCACAACTACTTTTAGGGTTCGTTTGAATTGATTTTAAAAAATCTATTTTTAATTTATTTAGTTTAAAAGTTACTTTTAAATCTATTTAGAATGACAACTTTAAAATACTTTTAATTTTTTTAAATACTTTTAGAATAATACATCTCAATAGTGCTTTTGAAAACTTTTTATTTACATTTTTAACCATCTATTTGTGAATAATAAATTAAATATCTCATTCATATCCTTTTATTATATTATTTTTTATAACAAAAGTGCTCTTGATTTTTTTATCCAAACAAATTCAAAAACTCTTCTTAAATATAAAAGTATTTTTTTAAACACTGTCTAAACACTAATAAAAAAGTCTTAACTTATATTTATCTTCTTCTACTACTTAAAAACACAAGCACAAACTATCCCAAACGAATCTTTAAACTTTGGCATATGCTAGATTCAATCAAATTTGACACCAAATATAACATATACAAAATTTTAACTTTTAAGTATTATTAATCCATATATTGATGTTTTCATGAAAAAGTCAATTCACAAGTATGAAAGCTTAATTTTTTTTTGAAACATAAAATTTAATAATTATGTCAAAAGGTAAATATATATTGATCTAATAGTATTAAAGAGTTTAAGTGTGGATTGCAGGTTCAATCTTGTATTTATACATTGAAAAAAAAAAACATGACATTGAATTAACATGATCGTTTATATGATCTTATTATATTCCTTAACTATTAAAATAAAATAAAAAATAATGCACACACGTCATCTAACATCTATCATTCATCCCGTACATGATCCTCTCTAGCCTTACTTCTTGCCAATAGGGTAATGGAGCTAATTTATGGTTTACGCATTATCATAATCAAAGTCGGAAATTCTTTTTTTTTTTTGGGAAAAGAAATTGTACAAAATTCAACTATTGGAATTACTCTAAAAATCTCAGGCCTCTTTCGCTTCATAAAATTGAGTTTTCAATTCGAATTGAGATATGATAGTTCTGTTTATTTTACTTATTTAAATTTAAAATTTGAGTTTTACTATAATAAAAAGCTTTCAAAAACTTCACATCTAATTTGTTACTACAGTAAAAACTCTCACATAAAATCACATCTCAACTCAAATTAAAAATTTAAATTAACGAACTAAATTAAAATTTTTAACTGTAACAGAAAATATTATATGTAACATTTTTTGAAAATTGTTAATTATAAAAATTTAAAATTAAAAAATTAAATTAATAAAATGAACGACCTCCACGTTGTTCTTCTAATGGACTCCGCGGTCAAACGGCGTCAATTTATCCGTCAACTTCATGATTTGGTGGGCCCAGTATGGTCCGACATCACATTACGATGGTTTGCTAATGAGTCTTCAAACTCACAAGTCACAATAGCTTTCCTCTTTTTTTTTTTTTTATTTTTTTCCTCCCCTTAATGCCGTGTCCTTTTACGGTTCCATTTTGTCGTTTTGTGAATTCAAGGAGGAAAGAATGAAAATGACACGCACATGTTGCTACAC